TCTGACTCTGTCTGAGGCTTGATAGGATTCAAGACGTATGCGGACAATTCGAGGTCCCACAAGCCAGCAGAGCCATTTTAGAACAATGAAGGACGAAATACATCATAATTATAGGCTGATTATAGGCCCTTTTTGGACACTTTAACAAATGTTCAGGCGGCATTCTTTAAAGAAAAAAATTACGGCTCTGCTGGCTAAAGACGAAGCTAGCTGACTACTTGTGAGATTTGCTTCGAAGGCGAAAAATTCAGATCACAATATTATAGGCTATTTATAGGCTTTTTTTAGACACTACAACAAATTTTCAGCCTACTTGAGTAAAATATAAAAACCGTTGATATAACTGGTATCTTATTTTTAATCTTAGGCTATGATAGCTCGTTGAAAAGAGAATTAAAAAATCTATCAAATAATCTAAAAATCCAATATGGCGCCTATTTAACTTTAGGAAGTTGGTAAATGTTCCTCAAAGGTAGCCATCTTGAATTTTGTTTTGACATCAATTTCTAAATTAGGCGTATCAAAGACAGTAACTTTTATACATATAAAACTTTTTTTAATATCTCTTATTCTTTCGATGATATAAGACATTAAAGGAAATGACCAATTTTAGTTTTTTTGAATTTACGTCGAACCTATTTGACATTTTGAATTTCCACAAGGAAATTTTAAATAAGCATCTAAAACTGCAAAACATTGTCCATTTAACCAATTCTCTATCTTTAATAATAAGAAAGTTACCTACCCATGCAATCCCACCCGATCTGTGACACACTGTATATTACTCTTGAAGTAATGTTTACTAAAGGTCCGTGAAGTAAAAAGTTTGCCAGCAACACATACCGTTTGGAAATTATTTCGATTTTTAGATGTGCTGCTAACTTCGCACACTTTTGTCGGCACAAATCTCGGGACTGGGGGATTGGTTAGTGCTTCGTTTGTGCCGGCTTGTGCCGTAAAAAGTTTGCTAGCAACACATACCGTTTGGAAATTATTTCGATTTTTAGATGTGCTGCTAACTTAGGCAAATCGATCGATTATTTCAAACATATCAAAAGCTTCTTTCGCGCATGTGCAAAAGTAAATTTCTAATTTGTTGACCAATTTTTGTGAAATTTTAACGGTAAATCAAATTTAACATCCATGTAGTTAATTGCCAAATCGATTAGACACTTCGCTCAATAAAAGGCGAAGCGATGTATGAGAAGTAAATCCAATGAAAAGAAAGTGCTGGGTCTCAACCGATGCTACCGTGCGGAAAAGTTAAGTTTTGATTTTTGATATTAATATTGAAATTTATTAAAGAACAACTTCAAATACTCATTTAAAAGCTTTAAACTGGAATCCAAACCGTAAGGTTTTTTTGACGGTGGATCATTATCTGAAATTTTTTACTGTCATTTCTAATTCATAGTCTATCATGGAAAGCTTTTATTCTGACCATTCCATGCTATAGTAGTTTATTTTAGAGATTTTAGTCCATAAAACAATAACTTCAAGGCAGTATTTTATTATTATTAATGGAAAAAAGAAATTTTCCTTTCAAGCGACTGTGAGGTGGCGCCGCCTAACGAAGGTAATCAAAAGTAAGTGCTAAGTGGGCATTAGCACAGATTTAAATAAATCTGTGGCATTAGGGATAGAAAGAGAAACAGTGGTGCATGGTTTTCTTGCGTGGGAGTGTGATGGTGTGGTTAGAGCTGCATATCAATTAGTCACGTGTAAGGTCACGTGCTATAGGTATAACATAAATAATCAAATCACAAACCAAACAAATAAAGTCGATAATGCTGGCTTAAAGGGATTGAATATAACAATATATAACTGATTGATTTAACTAATAAAATTTGAAAATTGATATGTCTCACCATTGAAGACAGAGACGACTAAAATAAAATCTTAAAATTAATTGATCATAGACGAATTAATTAATCAATTTGATTAATTAATTAAATGATTAATGAATTATTTGGATAAAATATACGCCACTGGTTATTAAAAATTTCTGACTTTCTGCGTAAGGGCTAACTTTAGTGAAAATATGCTAACTACATTTTTTGTAGGAAATTTTCGTATCTTTAATTTTGCTCACCACATATTTTCTCGTAAAATGCGCAGTTTTGGAGATATCGGCGGAAAACCGCTTTTGACGGCCATCTTGGTAAGATGGCGGCCCCGGCGGCAAGTTTAGAATTGTGCATTTTATGAATTTTAGTTCTACGCACTCAAGCATACAAAATTTCTGTACTTCCCGAGTTATTTCCAGCTAAAAATCCTCAATGACTGGCCTATTAGCAGAACCTCTAAAAATCGAAATAATTTCCAAACCGTATGTTTTGCTGGCAAACTTTTTACGGCACAAACCGGCACAAACGAAGCACTAACCAATCCACCCAGTCCCGAGATTTGTGCCGACAAAAGTGTGCGAAGTTAGCAGCACATCTAAAAATCGTAATAATTTCCAAACGGTATGTTTTGCTGGCAAACTTTTTACGGCACAAACCGGCACAAACGAAGCACTAACCAATCCACCCAGTCCCGAGATTTGTGCGGACAAAAGTGTGCGAAGTTAGCGGCACATCTAAAAATCGAAATAATTTCCAAACGGTATGTGTTGCTGGCAAACTTTTTACGGCACAAACCGGCACAAACGAAGCACTAACCAATCCACCCAGTCCCGAGATTTGTGCGGACAAAAGTGTGCGAAGTTAGCGGCACATCTAAAAATCGAAATAATTTCCAAACGGTATGTGTTGCTGGCAAACTTTTTACGGCACAAACCGGCACAAACGAAGCACTAACCAATCCACCCAGTCCCGAGATTTGTGCGGACAAAAGTGTGCGAAGTTAGCGGCACATCTAAAAATCGAAATAATTTCCAAACGGTATGTTTTGCTGGCAAACTTTTTACGGCACAAACCGGCACAAACGAAGCACTAACCAATCCACCCAGTCCCGAGATTTGTGCCGACAAAAGTGTGCGAAGTTAGCAGCACATCTAAAAATCGAAATAATTTCCAAACGGTATGTTTTGCTGGCAAACTTTTTACGGCACAAACCGGCACAAACGAAGCACTAACCAACCCACCTAGTCTCGACATTTGTGCCTTCAATGTGCTGCTAACTTCACGGACCCGTTTACTAAACCTTTTGTAAACTTCCGTGTAGAGATAGGGAGCAAGTCGTAAAACTCATTCCTGCATGGTTCCGACGATTTGTGCCAGATTTCGCTCAAGTGGCACAACCACTCAGTGAAAAATGCTCTTTGGAAGTGGGGTGCCGAACAGGATATAGCGTTGAAGTAGCTCCTCACATCAGCCTCAATCTTTAGGACTGCAGATCCGACGCTGCCATACACATTGCGAACAGAGGTTAGTTCATATGCCCTCGGTGAATCTCTACTCCAGAGAGAGGGGAAGGACGAGAGACAAATTAAGTATGCCAGCTGTCTTCTCGGCTCTGCCGCGAGGAAGCATTGGCTGTTGAATTCGCATTGCTCGTGGATATTTAGAAGAGGCATACGATACTATAGCCACCGATCATCGGTCATTGCGTTGGCTAATGTCGTTAAGATCACCTAGTGGTCGACTGGCAGAATAGGCCTTAATCTTACAGGGTTTCGATTTCAAAATTGAGTATGCCCGGTCGCAGCAATGTGGTTGCGGATACGTTGTCGTGCGAGGAGATCCGGATGTGGAAAAAATCATTCGATGTTTTGAAAGCGATCGGCAATGAGATCGATCATTATGCGTTGGACCGACGAGGATATATCCTGATGAATGGAGTCCTATACCGATACCATATGGATGGTGACGGTGATTAAGCTAGTGGTATCAATGGTCGAGGAGGTTTTGAAGCTGTATCACGACTCGCCTCTTGCAGGACATTACGTTACACTTGGTCCATAATACGGAGAGATCTTGAGCATGTGAAGGAATCTGTATCACCCAGCGCAAATCCATTTTCGTGGGCAACGGTCATACCAAATGAGAAGAGGCTCTACCCGCAGTTCGCTTTGCAATGGATACTGCCAGACATTCGGCCAGGAAAGGATCTTTAATTTGGATTGTTGATCATTCAATAGTTATCAATTTTTTTAAGTCGTTGAGTGGGGTAAAGTTAGATTGCCACCAAAATCTATACGATACCAATATCATAATTATTGGGCATTAACTGTTAACTCCGTTTCGCATGAAATTCATTTGGAAGGCCGCAGGAAAAGTGCCTTAGAAACAGACTATAATACATTTTTGCACTCCTTCGTTCTAAATCGCGTTTTCCCAATCAAACACGAACGTCGGGAACGTCAATTTTACAATTGAATATCTACTTTCGCGCACTAGTGCCTAAAAATTCAACGAAATTATCTATTTAGTGCGGATCATAAACTAATAAGTAGCATGATGGAAGAGTAAAAAAGAAAATATAAATAACTATTTTGATTTTATACAAAAATTTTAAAACTGTATTGTGTAATTGACATAACTATTTCCCGTTCGTATGACGATTATCGTTAATAAATCACGAATTTATTTTCGTGCGCCCTGTAGATTTTTCTCCAGCTGTGCGTAGCGTACAAGATTCGAAAGTAATTATCGGCTCGCAAAAGTAGATATTGACATATTTATCTCAGCTTGACGCTCCTACAAATCGTGGAAACCTTGTCGCCGCCACTGGAACCAGTTGTTAACATATCTCGTTCCTTTTTAAATGCAAAACCGAATTCGGCTACAGGTTGAATGTTTTAATTAACGAATGCATTTCTACACATTGTTAGATGATAATTTTATCTCGTCCCCAACCACCTAATTAAAAAATTCCTCTCTTATTTAGCACCTTACCCTGTGAGAAATGCCACCAGCGGCGCCCACACTTTATTTAAAATTACTGTTTTCGCAAACATCCTCTGGTTTAAAAGGAAACGTAATTGGATGTAATTGAAGCGGTATGTTTGACCGCAGCATAAATTTTAATGAAGGCTAAAAAGTGGATCCATTAAGTCGAGTAAAATTTTCTTTTTGTTTATTATCAAAACTTTGTACAACACATTTTTTTTGCATTTATCACTAATTTGTTTTATACATAAATACCGAGATCGTACTTAAATAATACTTGTACATAGAATACCTCACTTAATCCTAGGCGTGCCCTAAAATGATCGGCATCATTTCGGTTCACGTAAATATCGATACAAAATTAAAGAAAAGTCCTACCCGTAATTTAATTGTGTATCGACCTTATTGCGAGCATTTTGAGTCCCATCCTTTATTTACATATCTACAAAATTATTGAGGAACATGCGAAATGGAAAGTTACCTACTCCACTTTGTCTACTACCTTCTCATTATGTCTTCTATTGTAAAGCCGGTCTTGCGCGGCGGCGGCGGTGGATTATGAGGCGGTCGAGGGGGCGGCGGTAGTTCCTTTTTCATCGAGAGGTCGCTGGCGAAGTTGTTGCCGGTGGCGCCGCTGGTGCTCGGGCATGGTTCGCAGTTGTATTTGTGGGGGATGTTGCGGATGATGTTCGACGACATGTGGGCCGATGTTGGTGGTAGCGAGAGGACGTGTATTGGCGGAGGAGGGTGGTCGGGTGGTTTTAATACTGGCGGTGTGGGTGGTATGGGTACGCTTTGGGAGATTAGATGAGGAGGAGGCGGTGGGAGGTGCATGGGAGCTATGCGTAGCGCCATGGGAGGCGTCTGCCGGCCGCTGTTCGTAATCGTCGACGGTCTATCGGCGTCCAGGACTCGTTTTCGGAATGGACTTAGGAATCCCATTTCCATGCTTGCACTGGTGATCGTTGATGATTTCAGCGTGGGGTGGTGCAGGTCTCGCCTGATTTGCAGTTGAGGGTGTGGAGGTTCTGGTTCTGGATTTTCTTCTTGTCCGGGATCTATTTCGGGCTCGTCGTCCAATTCTGGGTCGTCTATGTCGTGTTCGGTGCGTTTGTCCAGACTGTCGGGGTGCGGTCGCATGGTGTACGGGCTTGATGATGAACAGGGTTCGTGACACTGCGTTCTTTCGGGCGTTGGAGAGCAGGTTCGTATCGACTCCTCTCTACCGTCGTGCGAGGGACTGCGTGGACGTGGCGATAAGGGCTCCAAGTCGTTTGAAGCTGCGAAACCGTCTCCTAAGTCGTCAGCGGGTACGTCCCCTACCGCGTGGGTCAAAGCGTGTCGTCGCAGATCACAGTTGCGCCTAAACACCTTTCCGCAGGAATTGCACTCGTAGGGTTTATGATCCGTATGCGTTAAGAGATGCGTTTTGAGATTGGAACGTTGATTAAACGAGCGGCTACAAACTGGACACTTATGCGGCGACTCTTCCATGTGCAAAATTTTGTGGACTGCTAAAGTCCTCGACTGGCAGAAGCCCTTCCCGCATTCTCCACACTTGAACGGCTTCTCCTTGCTATGTATATACCTGAAACAATAAAACCGAAATCAGTACGATCTCATTCCGCACATGCAACGTGGCGTTGTTGCCCACAATTATTCGCGACCAAGTTAGCTGCACGGCATGCAAACAAGATAAATAACAGGTTCGAACAAGGAAGATTTACCTCAACTGAAAAATGTAAATTTTTACCTCCTTTAATTACTCGACAGGATAAAAAAGATCGTTCCAAGATTTATATAATTATATTGCTTAATTACGAGAGAAAAGCCGGCCTGTCTTATTATCATTTAAGGAATAATTAGAGGATCTCTTCTTTAATTATCGTAAAACGATATATTTACGTGCAATTTAAAATTTTTCCTTTAACGGTTTTCGTTTAAAATATCCAAGTTGGTATTTTATAATTAATTATACGGACGATCATTATCTGAGCGATGGAATTTTGACTATTACGGAGCATAGCCTTTGGTCCTTCGAGTATGGATAACTGAACATCCGCATTTGGACTAATAAAAGTCTTACGTAACAACGCTATTCGATTATTACGTACTTTGACGAACGATTTTATTGGTACCTGAAAGTGTAATTGGGTAGGTATACGAGTATAATTATGCGCTTAAGATCTTACGCGGCTGTCTACGCTTAAGCAGCAGTTAAATTTATAGGCCACACTTTGAGTAATTCACTCTACATAAAATCACAAGAAACGTTGTGATTATTAATTAACGATTATCAAATACAGAAAAAATCGATTAATGCGAAATAGCCTAGTAAATGGTTGCGTTATAAGGCAGTAGAATAATATATTTATCGATTTTTTCTTTGTTGTTAGATGATTAATGACGAGACTTCGCCTATAGATATGTCTCCTCCAGACAATTCAGTTTTGCCTTTGTGGATACTTTCCTCCGACAAAGCATTTTCCATCCAGTACCATCCCCCGACAAACCGTTCTTGAGATATAAGGAATTATTTATGTCCAATCGTGATAAGGGCCCGTATGAATAAAAATAAGCAAATGCTTATACTTGCAAAATTTAAAGTAAATACTCGTAAGTGTTCCTTCGTACTGGGCGATTTAGCAGCGCTGCTAAGCAGAAGGACAGGACGTAGTGCAGCGCTGCTAAACAGACCAGTATGAAGGGGCAGTTACGAGTATTTACTTTGAATTTTGCAAGTATAAGCATTTGCTTATTTTTATTCATACGGGCCCTTTCGAGGCTATGGTTGGTATAAATTAATTCCTTTCGTTAAGACCTTTCATTAGAGTACCATGAAGGATAAAACCAGCCCCCCCCCCTACACACACCTCCTCCCAACCCCTCATTTAATAAAGAGTCAGAAAGTCGGGCGGTATTTGGTACAACACCGTTCCTTTTGTTGAGACCTTTAATTGGAATACCATGAAAGTTATATATTTTGTTTATTACAAGCACGATATATTTACTTGAAAAATCCTCGTAACTTTTAAATAAATGGCTCCATCTATTATTGGAATTTGACCACGCAAGTTTACCGCGCAGTGCGTATAGATTTTCATTTTCTTTCTGTCGAGAGCCGTATCAGGTTACACTGCATTAAAAACCAACAGCTGAGGGCTTAGTTAGGAGCGCATGGAATTTTAATTGCCATCATCATATTTAATCTCTGCAATTGGATTCATTAATTTGGGGATTCCGAAAATATTGTTAGGACGGATTCACCCAAAACTTCAATGGGGATGATATAATTGTGTTTTTTTCTGACTTATTGTAAGTAGCGCCATTTGCACTTTACGTAATTTAAGTGTACCTTTTCTTTAGGTGCGGCTGTCATCTGTTTATTCGACAATTTTCGATCGATAATTGTTGCTTCATCTATAATTATCCCTCTTATTGTACATTTTATGATATCAACGAAGAGGGTTACCTTTGATTTCTTTTAGGGTTTTAATTTTTAGTTTTAATGTTAGTTCTAATTTAATTCAACTGTAAGAGTGTGTAACGTTCACCGTTGCCTGCGAGTGCCAACACCTTTGATATATCTTCCATCTGCTGATAACGAGCTGCCATTTTGTAGAATTGGGTCACCGTATCACGAGATATGATATCGGGAATCGATCCTCAAAAAAGAAACAACTCTTCAGCGTATTAGTTAATAACTGTTTTGCCATTTCTGGATTGGCCGATTAAGTACCGTACCTGTTATAGCGGCAGATTACAAGTAGAACCAGGCCCCTCAGGCATTAGTCAATTAATTATATATCGAGCCCTGCGGCTTGGGAGCTTTTCTTTTAATTATTTGCAAGATTTGGATGCGAGAACTGAGCTCACTTATATGCTTTATTTGTACTTGGCGCTATCCGTGCGAATTTGTGTCCGGAACATCTTGTTTTAAGATACAATAATCAATTTAATCGATCATCCTTGATTGGGGTTTTGCTAAACTGGAGGGTTTCAATTGTACATTGAAGTTACTATAAGATTTTTGTGTAACGTACGTAATAATTTTGAGTATTTGAGGGAGAATATTGAATATTTACGTGTTAAGCTATTGTGGAGAGAATTTTTATTTTTGCCATTTGTTTGAATAATAGTTATTTATTATACAAGACGATAAAGGGTTACTTTAACCATTGAGTGAAAGACTCACGAGATGGTTAGTTTCCCTTTATCGTCGTGTATAATACAAAATTTTATTTTATGCAGAAGTCATATAAATCATTGTAAAGCTTCTGACAATTCTAATTTAGGGACGTCAAAAAAAGTAAGCTTAGGTTCTGCCGTCGTGATACTTTCTAGAGAAACAGAATTGTCATGTCATTTTATATCGTGCATTTCAAATAAGAATGACAGATGTCATTAGAATGCACAATCATTTGTTTCACTTTATCTACCCTTACGGTTAAAGAACGGCTTAGCCTACTCATTCAAACCTATTAAAATGTCAATTTAACATATGCCTTAAAATAAACCAGTATTTATTTTGGTACCTAAATTGATTTGTACTCTTTTTCATACCCTCGTGTCTTTTTAATTTCATACGAAAAGAATTAAGCTAAAAATACAGTGGCGCTCAACTATTGGTAGGTGCAACGAAGGATGTTAACATTATATTATATGTAAATATGCATGTTTTTCTTCATTAAACTTTACATACAATTACATAATATGTACAACTACTTAGAGACATTAAATCTACAGCTGTTTCAATTCGTGCATCTTATGTTAAGTGTTCTACAATTTTGTGCATGCATTTCAAATCGTCTATAATTCTGTATTACTGGTTCGCCTAAGACATTACATCGCACATACCGACAAAACCTAAACTCAAGCAATTGATCCTAAAGCCGCCCTTTGTGCTTTAATTTCATGCGTGAAATCAGCTAAGCATTTTGAATTGTCCATAATTTTTGTATGATTGGTTCTTGGTCTAGGAGCAGCCCATGTCACGTATGCAGTTGTACGTCCCCTAAGTTTGGTTGCAGGGATTTGTTAAGCATCTATGGGAGTATTAAAAAAATTTGGTCACATAGTCCAAATCATGATCGTTGGGTCGCCATATTTAAAAATGTCCCCCACGTGGCTACATTTTTTGTTTAAGTATATATCCTCACACAATGGTTCAATTTTAATTTTTTAAAGAAAGATTTACTGATTTTCCAAATCCACTTGGCGAAGGCTTGTTGATTTTTTTGTAATTACAATATTGTTATGATTAATTTCATTAAATTACCCAGTAATCTAATTTGTGCCTGTAAGGTAGAAACTCATCTACGGCGTTCTTCAATTGAAAAGATGGCCGGTGGATTTCCCCAAATGAATCTTCCTTGCACAATATTGAGAAAATCCTAAATTCGGTGGTTTCTACTCAGGAATATCGATGTAGAAAGCACAATCCGGTAGGTAATAATGAAGATAAAAGTAAGCAGCCTAAAAATGATTATTCAAAGTCAAGAGGTAAATGCGTAATTTTTGTTAACATACCGAAAACGGCTTTAGAACTTGTAAAATACATCTGCACATGCGTCATGGAAGTGTCGAAAGCAAAATAACAAGAGAAAACTTATACAGCATTAACAAAAATCCCAAAAAGGCTGATAAAAATGGTCGAGTAATTGTAATGGCGTGTATTCTTCTGCAAATAATGATCGAATGTCGTCTTTGTAAAACGAAGTACGTGCGTCGAAAAAAATTAAAGAAAACTCTGCACGACCTCCGTCGGCAAAACCAAGAACTATGTGAAAGAAACATATACTAAGATAATAACAAATTTACTACAGGAACAATTTACATCTAAACTAGTGGATTACAAAGAAGATACCCAGATAGCGTAAGGATATAAATAAGAGCAAGAATATTCTACTAAAAAGAACGTAACACAATCTTCACATAAAATGAAGCTATTTACAATGCTATAAATGGATTTGTGCTCTAAAACATTGTAAAAAACTTAATCCGTTGGACTATGGATACATATATGAATGACGGTATTTTAATTCTACAAGTGACAGATCCAAAGAACCCTGAACATTTTCCTAAGCCATGTAATTGCCAGGCGTGCTTCAGAGAAATGGTATTTTTGTAAAAGGTTGGAAGTAATGTGTTGTGACTTTTGTAAACGTAAAGTCAGTGTTTTGGACCAATGCAATTCTTATACATAAGCAATGTTGTTTGGATTCAAAAAATCAGTATAATTTGAAATAATTAAAATCGAGGAATTTTGTGGGAAGATATACTTAGATCGTTTGTGCTTGAAGTTCGTGCGTGAAGTGAGCTGAGCATTTTGAATTGTCCATAACTTTTGTATGGTTCGTTCAGCCGATACTTATATCATGGCACAAACCAGCACAAACAATTAAACCTAAATCCGTCATTTGTGCTTTTCATGTCCTGCTCACTTCACGGACCCGAGTATTCTTCCTTATTTTATCTATAAATAATTTTAGCATAAATTTAAATACGAAAAGTCAACTCGATAAATGTGTTAATTTGAGACATGCAAACCCAAGTTGATTACTATTCAGAAAAACTGGGTTAAAGAAGCGCGCTCGATGCAGTAAGACCAATTAAAAAAAAACTGGAATTTTTAGTATAATACCGCGGAAGTCTTTGAACTTCTCTTAGATGGAGGTCTCACTTAATTTATATATGAGACGTTTTTTTTCTAAGTAGTTTTGAATAGCTTCAAATTAATGGACGGCCATCTTCTCTCTCTTGGTTTTATATAAATGGGAACCCATCTCGTATACAAGTCATACATTATAACATTGATAAGATCGCAAATTTTTAATGTATTTTTCTTTCCGTCTCGCTCGCGTCCAGTGAATATTTTTTTGAAAAATGATCGAGCGTAATGTATTTCCACTGTAAAACGCTACCAAATTCCATTTAAGTCAAAGACTAAAAAATGTAAATTTGGTATCGGCTAACAAAAAGTGCTTTTAAAGTCGCATTAAATCGTGGAATTAGACAGGTTTTGTACGGTTAAGTAGGGAATTTATGAAAGGCCGTGTAGTTCCTCTTATAATGACGCGTAAATTTGGCTTAAAGGAGAATTTATACGTCACCCCAGCAGCTCTTTGCCTTTCTTTAAATCAAACTCGCCTCGCTCGACCCGCCGCATTCCTTCGAGTATTAACCGGAGCAATTTGTAAATCGGGATAAACATCTTCTCTATTAATTATAAATAATCGTACATTTCTCGAACGGACGTTTAGTATCCATCCAGCACACGTTTACTTCTTCATACGCAGTGTAGAGCTACAACACACGTCGCTTCTAACTGCATTCCTCCACTTATAAAATTCTTGTAGTTCTTCGCTCTCGATTGTACCTATTTATTGCCGCAATTATGTACCTACGTCTCTTACCGCGGCCCCCGCAATGGACATCGGTAGGTACGACTTTATCTAAAAACGAAATCGGACAGGCTAAATTGGTCCAGTTCGGAAGTTGCAAGTTGAAGAAACAAAGCACATCGGAAACGAACATTATTTCCAATTGAATTGTAGAAGTTGAGTTAATCCATTCCACTCTATTTGGTCTGTGTTAGCGGTTAAAACTACTTTCTCCGTAACGGACCGAGCACGATATTATTTTATCGCCGATTTCGGCGTGTCATTTCCAAAAAGAATTGTGTCAAATGTCTCTTTCAGAAATTCGAAATATACCCCACAGGTTTTCTACCATTACTGTACGAATAGCAAGTCTATCCGGTCACAGGTACAACTATTGAAGTCATTTTGACATCATGATTCTTCGTAACTAAATGACAAAAAGCTCGAAATACTTTCAAAAGTATGGCAATAGTTACGACAGGGACAGGGAGACTGACAAAGGAAGCGGTTGTAGGTAATAGCCCAAGCTTTTAATGGAACCGAATTTACCCGCTAAAATTCGATTTTAAATATTCGCGGTTCCTAAGTATTTTCTAAAAGGAAATAAAGTAGCGATCGAATGTCATTTTTTTAAAAAGTCGCATCTGGTCGCCACGAAAGAATTCAAAGATTACGCTTTGTTTCGCCTCCGTGGAACACGTGTTTTTTCCCTCTGTCTTACATTTAAATGGGGCATAATTTACAATAAAAGTACCAAACATAACGCTATATGGAAACATCAACACTACAATTTTAATTTATAATTAAATTTCTTGCAACACGTTTCCTTCCGTTTCATGAAAATGTTACTGTTTATTTACCGGGTGCTTCATCTTGGGGACGAGTGACATACGCTAGGTCAAGATTGTTACATATTGCACTTGGCATTGGGAATTAATTACTTTATACTACCATTTTGTCCCGACATGTTTCCTTGTTTTGTTGTAACGTGATACTTAACGTTATGCTTCTACTATTTATTTGAGCGGGGTAATTATGATTATTAATATTTGGCGGGGTGACTTGTTTCGAATATGTATTGTGCTACATTCGATTTCGATATTTTATCGGGTTACTCATGGTGGAGAGCCTGGGGTTCGGTCTGTTATAAACCCGGCACATTATAACTAGTGGGTTGGACTGGCCCTAGAGATGTGTGAATGAGGAGTTGGGATTCCGCTTAGTCGTAAACGA